GACCTCAATCCTGTGCACTTGGGAAAACAGGCGATGACTTCCGAACACCTCACTTCTGCCGTACGCCCCAGAGATGTGTGTGAACATTGTCTAGTTGTCTGGGCAGTAACGCTTCTGGGGTGTAGCAACAGGCTCAATGCCTGTCAAGTGCTCATCATGTTTGAGTATTGCTAGTCTTAACGGACATGCTGTAACATGGCAATGAAAAGAACGATACCACGTTGCTCTGAGCTTCTAGCACTGAGCATTTCCTAAACACTGCTAAAACTGAACTTCACGGTAATTGTAAAAAGAACTGAAAATCTAAGCATTTTAAGCGGATGAGAATGCCTGGCAATAGTAATGGAGCAGCTGGGCCTACACCTGTCATTGAAGCATTGTGGGCAATTGCTAGCCTGTTGATAGTTGCCAGCTCTGCTTGACGTGCCTTCTCGAGAAGGTGTTTTGGGAACAGTTGGCTTTCTCTGAGCTGCAGCTCCTGAGAACTCATGGTGTCTAGCTGCAGTCTGACCCTGCAGGGTCCTGTCCCTGTCCCCCTGAGGGTCCAGATCCCATCCCCCTGGGGGGTCCCATCCCATCCCAGGGACAATAGACAGCAAGGTATTGTCTGACATCGAGAGGCTGCTGTCATGGCGGGCCACAGGCATGGCTGACTATGGCTCCATTTCATATTGGGGACCTCCACGCCTGCCCACACTCCCACTGCTGGAGCCCACTCTCCACACGTTGAGCACCCCATGGATGCCTGGGGAAGCAATGCCACTCTGGTGAGAAGAAGGTGGAGAAGCAACGGGCAGCAACATGCACGATTTCCTACATGTACACACCTAGCGGGCTTGGCCAGGACCTGGTTAGGGACCTGCTGCCGAACAGAGAAGCTCAGGGGATCTCACAGCCCTCACAGGGGCACGTGTGGGGCCAAGCAGACCCTCCAGAGAAGCCCAGGGTTTCTCACAGCCCTCGTAGGGGCAAGCATGGGGCCAAGCAGACCCTCCAGGGAAGCTTTGCATTAATCCAAGCCCTCTCGAGGGCACATATGGGTCCAAGCAGACCCTACAGGGAAGCGCAGGTCCTCTCCAAGACCTCTCAAGGGCAAACGTAGGGCCAAGCAGACCCTCCAGAGAAGCCCCGGGTTTCTCAAATCCCTCGCTTAGGCATGTGTGGGGCCAAGCAGACCCTCCAGAGAAGCCCAGGGCCTCTCCCAGCCCTCACAGGTCCCCACGCAAGGTGCTACAGGGACGCCGCCAGGGTCTGGGGACAAGCCTGGCTCTACAGGGCCATGTGCGGGCC